CCCCAAAACCCCAAAACCCCAAAACCCCAAAACCCCTGCTGGTTTAGATAGAGTTGAGAATTATTTAAAACTTTCAGGGGAGATTTTTCTGGTATCATACATTAGTTGGAGCCGTTTGTGTTTTGAGCAAATTCTTTCTGCCTTTTTACGGGATTTAAGGTAGCTTTTATAAGCTTCATAAAATTTAGTGGTCGGCTTATTTCCATTTTTGTCATAGCACACTCTCGTTAAAATGCATTGTGGTCGCTGCAAGAGGTCTAGACCAAATTAGGCTATTTTCAGCATTGATAGTTAATCCTGCCATATATATTACCTCAGTAGTATAATTCCTCCCATCTATTAGTTAAATCTCTCAAAATTAGTATGAAATTAACAGCAAAATTTCGAAAAATTTCCAGAAAATCCTAGCAAAACTAGTGTAAATTACTCATGAATAGTTGTATTTTTGACTGGAGATAAAGACTTTATTTTAGGAAATCTGGAATCAAGCCTTATCGAGGCCGCTTGGTCGTCATAGGCCCTCATCTTATGGGATGTGTTACCACCTATATAATCTCATAAGTCTTGAGAAATAATTAAACGTACTATGAGTATCAAGTTTATTTCTTCATCTGAATATCGGTAAAGATCTGGCAAGGCGTATGGCCTGAAGCACGCTTCACTTCGCTAAAAGTATGAGAAATTTTGTAGCAAAGACTAAGAATTGTACCTGAAATAGTACTGGTGCTTCTTGGAATTTTTGGGAAGAAACGCATCAGGAGTCATTGAACTATCCCCGTTTCTAGTGCAGATATCTATCCTCCCCATTGTTGTTGGTATCCTTGAGGCTATAATAATCGCTCGAAGAGTTTACATTCGAGTAAGTCAGTGTTTGGAGATGATGCTAGGGCTCCCGAATTTGTACTGAAGTTAGTCTTATCTTGTGAAGGACTTCTCTTAGTCTACCATTAGTACTATTATTTACCTGTTTTCTCTTAAAACTTGGCTGATTAAAGAAGGTTGTAGTCGCTCTAAAGTTCTTCATATTCCCGAGCCTTGACTGGTATCTACAAACATGTTTGATTTTAAATCAAATTCCAAAAACTGAATTTTGAAATGAATAGTTTCAAAACAAATATATTTTATTCTTATAGCAGAAAAATAGCTTAATCAAAATAAAATTACGGTTGGAACTTCTGCTGGTATTTATCTTTGACCATCTCTTTACTTTCTCTCTATCGCTAAAAGTTAAAAACCTGGTTGTACCCTTCTCTCGCTTGTACACCTTCAGTTGGGCCAGATCGGGTCCATAACTTTGAAGTTCTCTAAATACAATACGGTCCAGATTCAGGCTTGACAACCAAAATTCCAATAGCACAAAGGGAGACAAAGCTGCTTCTTGGCTTACCAATAGTTCCTGTATTTCTTAGGAAGAGTGAATCCAAAATTATCTGGGTGGGATTTTGGCTGTTTTGAAAAGCAAGAACGGCTACAAAGAAAGTTAACAATATTTACTGTCCTGACATGAACTGGAAAAAATTCAATATTTTATAAATGAAGTGGGGTTTTGGGGTTTTGGGGTTTTGGGG